CAGGAAGCTTAAGGTTTATTGAGTCACTCCCACAACAGTACAACTGAGGCACACCTAATTCCATCAAGCACTAATAGTACTATATTGCTTTTCTCTTTCCTTTATGTCATTTGCATGGTTTATTTAGCAATGTCCTTTTTGTATAGACATAGGAAGACAGTTGCTGCTATGCTTTGTAACATGGAAATTAATTGACTCCAAAATAATATTTACTCCTGGGGATCCATATTTACTTGACTTAAGCCTCAGTTTCCCTTAGTTCCTAACATTCCAAGAGCAGGGACTGGATGGACCCAGGGCAAGCTGTGATCTACCCTGGCATCGAAATGGGCCAGACCCAGTGCTATAATACTTAATTATAAGTTAAGAGCATGGTCATGGACAAACTCTGTCATTACCCAAAAAGACGTAACTGAATAAGGACCCTGCTGGGGCTATGAAAGACTGACCTGGTCTGAGGAATGTGGTCTGAAATCTATACTGAGATGACCCCAGGAAGAGCCAACCTTTAATCTTACTGCATTCATACAAAATGACATTGCTAGAAAGATTATAAGAAGTAAATTTACTATGATTGTTTACACGGATTACTAACTGAGGAAAGGAGAAACAATACACTCTGGATGGAATCCCCCCCCTTGTGTGGATCTCTTAGTGATCTGGAGTGCTGAACCCTCAAGATGAAATTTTGTCCTTGAGTTAATCTGCTGAAGGAGTGGTTTTACATCTGTTTGCTGTTATGATAATGTTTAACCCCACCTTTGTGTACCCCCACCCTTCATGATTTCCATATAACTATGCTGTGAGGGGGAAGAGGGGACTAGAAATTGAAAACTAGAGGAAAATGGGGACTTTGGGACTTTGAGGCCTTTGAGGACTAGACGTTGAAGACTAGAAAGTCCAGACTAGAAGTTGAAGACTAGAGGAGGAGAGCGGAGACTTTGCAGACTTTGAGACTAGAAGGAGCACTAGCTGACGATGATGACTGGAAGTAAAGGACTATAAGACTATGACGAGACAAGGGAAAAGATATAATGAGGGAGAAGATTCTGAGGTCTATTAGGAGACTAGGATGATGGAACTATGATGATTGAGATTATGACCAAAACTATGAGTATGATTGCGCCGTAAGGAGAGAGATGGGACTACTCTGGAAAGGAGAGAGAAATAAACTGTCTAATGACCACCCTAAGTCCCTGTTTCACCATTCCTGGTGGTTTGTCCATCCATCTGTCTGTCGCTGCTATCCGGCCTGGGGAGGCGGGTCTCGGTCTTCAATTGCTTGAGTCCCTCCTGTGCCTGTGCCTTTTTCTTTGAAACTTAAAACTAAGAATATAGCTATGCTAAGGCTGCATAACTAAGCTTAACTTGTTTGTTACAAATGTTTAATCCTGTATTCACCTGCTTTTGGGATGGAGGGCACATCTGACAGTGCTCATGGAACACTCCAAGCAGTATGTGGGGTCCAAGCATTGACTCCAGGTTGGCTGCATGCAGAGCAAGCACCTTACCTGCTGTACTACCCCCACATTCACCTACTCTTTAAATAATGAACAAGGAAGGTAAGGTAAGGTAAGGTAAAGGCCTCCCGTTGTTTGTCGATTTGCTCGAGCGGGCCCAGTAACGTCTCCATTGGAGACTTTGTTGTTACTGTGTTTGGCATATCGAGTATGTCACGGGGAGCTTGCCAGGCTCTGTCGTGCGGGCGAGATACTCTCGGTAGCTTGCCGGGCTCTCCGAGAGGGCGGAGGAATCGAACTCGGGTCGGCCATGTTGGCTGCGTGCAAGGCGAACGCCCTACCCGCTGTGCTATCGCTCCAGGAAGAGAATAAATATATCTAAGAAATAAAATTAATAATGAAAGTATGCTGGTATATTTATGAGGGACAAATTCATTCAGAAAGAAGAAAGGAGATTGAATAAAGACTTGGAGTTAGGGTGGGAAAGGAAAAGAGCAGAAGGAAGAGATGGGAGTGTTGACTATTGTATAACTAACCATAGGTTAGGGGCCTCTGTGGGGGTCAAGGCATGACTACAGCTACCAGTGGTAAAAATCAGACTCTCCTCTTTTATTTTGAATTTTGGGATCACCAGTCTCTGCTTAAAGTTTACTCCTCATTCTGTGTTCAGGGACCACCATTAGTGGTATTCAGGGAACCTTATGCAGTGCTGGGGATTGACCGAGAATCACCCACATGAAGGCAAGTACATTTACCCTGTTCTGCCTCTTTAGCTTCCCCAAAATCACAATCTCAAGCATTGTTCTCAGCTCCAAAAGACCAAATTCAAGCTCATTAACACTGTTTTAAACAAAATAATGCACAAATACATTGAAGTCATGAAAGAAAAAAATTGAAAAATAGTACTATGTAAAATTAAGGGCTTTTGTTTATTAGAGGACCCCAGTAAGAGAAGGAATAGACAGATCAGAGCATATGATATTCCCAATCAATATTTATGAAAAAGTACTTATATTTAGAATTTGCTGAGAATTTCTGCACTATCAGTAAGATAGACAACCTAAAAATAGACAAAACATTTGCAAAGATACTTAATGAAAGTTCATTGCTGTGTGGCCAATAAACTTTATTTTTTATTTTATTTTATTTTATTTTGCTTTTTGGGTCACACCTGGCGATGCACAGGGGTTACTTTAAAAGGAGTTTAACTCTATTATTCATCAGGGCAATCCAAATAAAAACAATAATGTGATACCTCTATCAGATCTACTAGAATGCATAAAATAAAAGAACAGAAAACACCAATGCTCATGAAAATGTGGAGTAACTGGCATTCCAGAGAACAGAGAGAGAAGGAAGTACAATGAAAAAAATCCAGACTTATACTTTTTAGATATGCTACAATTCTGCCACAAAAAGTCTTCTTCTCATGAACCCATTTCTTCTTAAAATTGCTTCTTCTTTTCTTGCATTTATTTCTTACTTTAACAAAACCATTTATTTCTTACCTTGATAATTTTTCTCCCACAAACTATAGGTACTGGAACAATGGTTTAAGGCTGTTTCACACCACTGTAGTAATTGCCACGGTTACCATCAAAGTTTTGAGTTAGATGATTTCCAACCTAGAGATTATGCAAACTTAGAGGATACATAGATCTTTACTCCCTTATCACCCAGAATGGTGCTGTCTACTTCCTCAGCTACATTCTTGCAGTGGTGTCTCTTATGCAGGGTCTAAGAGCTCATAACATTTCTGAGCTTCCTCTCCATTTGGGTCATCCAGGCTGAGGTTGTCACCTGATCTAAAAGACTCAGGTGAGAGAATGAATTCAGGCGCTATGGGTGAGAATTCACTCTACAGTTTAATTCTCTCCTGGCTGAGATAGGATTAGCCACTCCCCTCTCAAATCTTCTAGAGCAGTCATACTAGCTAGAATGAGGAGCAAAAAATTTATATGTACTGATTTTTCTCCCCCTAAATGGAAATATTCTGACCTTCCTGTTTATTCTATTGTATTTTTCTATTATAGAATAACATAAGATAGTATTTTCTATTATATTACTATTAATTTTCTATTATAGTAATCAGACCACAACTTAATGAAAACCAGAACCAAAATATTAGTGTTCCCCCGCAGTTAAGAAGCTGATGAGGATATATTTCCAGCCAATGTTTGGCCCTTCCATTCAAAGTTAATGTCATAGTCTTATTATGTTACTTTTAAATGGTCACTGCTTTTACAAAATGGGAGCTTACAATAAAAACTCATTTTAAAGCTTCCTTGTAACATTTATAATTATGCAGCCTTGGAGGGTTTTTTGGGGGGTTTTTTTGTGTTTTTTTTTTTGTTTTTTGCTTTTTGGGTCACACCCAGCTACGCTCAGGGGTTACTCCTGACTCTGCACTTGGGAATTACTTCTGGCGGTGCTTGGGGGACCATATGGGATGTCAGGGATCGAACCTGGGTCGGCTGCATGCAAGGCAAATGCCCTACCCACTGTACTATTGCTCCGGTCCCCATTAGAGTTTTTAATATTTTGATTTCCTTAACTTTTTTTTGATTTCCTTAACTTTTCTCCCGCTCCGGGCACATCTCTTTGATTCCACTGTTCTTCCTGCATTAACATATGCCTCAGAGACCTGGGCCCTATGCAAACAGGATGAGAACGCTATTCAGGTCTCCCAAAGAAGAATAGAAAGAGCTATGCTTGGAATATCACGTTTCACTCAAATGAGAGAAAGAATCCGGAGTTCTGACATCCGTCGACGATCAAGAATCAGGGACGCTGTCTCATTTGCCAAGGTGTCGAAAATCAGATGGGCTGGTCACGTAATGAGATTTAAAGACGACCGCTGGACTAGAGCTGTTACCAACTGGATTCCACGGGACGTCAAATGAGCACGTGGCCGCCCACCTACCAGATGGTCAGACTTCTTCATCAAGATCATGAACGATCGGTTTGAGGCTCTTCGTGTTCCTAGAACGAACAGGCACCATTGGGCTACACTAGCACGCGACAGGGACAAATGGAGACGTTACTGGTGCCCGCTCGAGCAAATCGACAACTAACGGGAAGTTAAGTGATTAAGTGATTAAGTGAACTTTCCTAATTTGAAAGACCTTCAAATAAATGTGCTTTTCTGTCCCTCACTCAGAACTTTATTTGAATGACACAGTTTTGACATAATATTTTCTTCGTATTGTCCTCAAAGAAACTACTGAATGAGAGGAAATAAAAATTTTGAATAAAATCCTTTAGACATAAGATCTTTTGATACTTTCTGTCATGCAATACTTAAACATATGCTATGTAACAGAAGTTATAAACAAAAGAACTGGGGTGGTAATTGGCAAGATTTCAGTAAATGCCTCTACTGACATGTTAACCTAGAAGCAGTTTTACAAAATACACAGAAAACAAGAACACGGACATGCTGACATACTTGAGGAAGAAAATAAATAGGTATGTTTTTATTAAGTTAATTCAGACATATTAATTACACTCAAATGTCAAATTATATATCAGCTTTGCCTGTTATTTACAATGAACACAAAACAAAGGAATAAAGTGCTTTATAAATCTAATACCACGAGAACGTGTTAAGACAGAATCGGAGGATACAATGGAGTTGTATCTCATACTAATAAGAGATACTACCACACAAACAGGGACTTTATACAAATGAACAAATAATAAAAATTGTAGTAGGAATGCTGTGGGATAGTCTATTTCTTTAACCTGGACATGTAGTAAAGCAAAGATTTTCCTTGTCATTGATCCACATAAATGATCAAGAAGAAAGAATACCCAGACTTCCTAAGAAGGCAGCTGAGTCTCACTTGGAAAATAAAATCATAAGAAATCAGTGTAGTGATGTGATCTGGTGAGGTTCAGGACTTCAAGCATAGCTCATTGAGAATCTACAATGAAGGTGCTCCAATGAAGTTTCCAAATAGAACATGTAATTTGCAAATGCAATATCAAAATCACATTTATATTCTGAGGTATGAGATTAAGATTATTTAAGTCAACAAAAGCATCAGAGGTAATAATAGGTAATATTAATATGATTTATAGGGTATTAAATAGGCAATATCCTACAAACATCTATGGCTTGTACTCTGTATTTCCTATGTACTGCTATTTACAGAGGGTACCAAACACCCTACAAATATTTTGCATTTTGCCTGGCAAGCTCCCCATGACGTATTCGATATGCCAAACACAGTAACAACAAAGTCTCCAATGGAGACGTTACTGGGCCCGCTCGAGCAAATCGATGATCAACGGGAGGTCCTTTACTGGGTATACACAAATCATTATGCTGAAAGTAGAGTGAAGGAATGTTAAATTCTACTACAGTGCATCTTCCAAAGAAATCATTCACAACCACACACACAGCAAGATCCTATAGTCTCAAAATAAATAGAAATAATTCCTATTCAAATACTGTTGCAACACTGAACTCTCAATCACACAGAAGACAAACTAAGACATTAAATGAAGGGAATGTGAGCACTTCTTCAGAAACTGAGCATTAAATCAGGAAATCTCAACCTGTTTGTCTAAGATACGTGCTGGACAATTTGCATGGAAGCTCATTTTTCAAAATTGTTCTTTCTCCAGTGTATATGTACCAACAAGACTCCTGATTATCTTGAAGGACCAAGGAGTCCTTCTGGTGAGTCTTTCTACTTCTTTCTCTGTTCTCTTCCTTTTCTTTTCCAGGTGGTACTATTTTCAGAAGCTAGAATTTCATTCTGAGTTCTACATCATCTGCCGCCTGCCGGTCCACTGCTTTCCGATGGTCGGTCGTGCTCAGCCCTGATGAGCTCAAATCACAGGCTGAAAGTCCCTATTTTAAGATCAGAAGCTCCAATGCTGACTATGTCTCTTCAAATTGTGTATCTGCAAAACAAGGAAAATTTTTAAAAAGGAGGAAAATCTGGAACAATAGTAAAGCAGTTTGGGCACTTGCTTTACGCACCACCAACCTGGATCCCTGGCATCCCATAGAGTCCACTGACCCTGCCACCCTGCCAGGAGTGGTCCCTGACTACAGAGCAAGGAATAAGCCCTGCCAGCACAACTAGTTAAATAAATACAAATTTATTTATTGTATTTAAACACACACACACACACACACATACATATATATATACACAAAACTTGCTCTAGGACGAAGTTTCATAAAAAAAAAAACTTTTAAAAAAAAAACAGGCAGATCTTCTGTTACCATGGAGAAATATCAAGGTAAAGTTTAGAGCAATTGTGAACCATTTGAAAGGCATCTGGATGGATTCCTGGGATAAAAATCTAAACTTGATATAAATTAATCTGAATTTTAATAAACTTTCATGAGCCATCTAAAAAAACATAATCCCTGCTTGCTTTGCTTCAAAAAAAAGATGGTATCTGGAAAGTGATAAAACTATATATTAATTCTATGCAGAAGGGAGTCTGGAAAAAATTAACAAAATGCAGACACATAACATATTTGCAAGATGATATAGTGCATTTTTATTTACTTTGGTATTTTTGGCCACACTCGGCAATGATCAGGGCTTACTGCTAGGTCTGCACTCAGGATTTACTCCTGCAGTGCTCAGGGGACTGCACGAAATGCTAAGGATTGAAACTGGATGGCTCATGTGCAAGGCAAGTGCCCAACCCATTGTGCTATCTCTCCAGCCCCTGATACAATAAATTTTTAATAAGCAAAAAAGCATTGTATTTATATCCAATTATCTTTATATGAGTGAATGACCAATTATACTGGTTTGCCCTAAGAATGTCCTGGTTTCTGATGTAAGAGCCTTATGTCCTGAGAAATCCCTTAGTTCTGTGCAAATAAGGATGATTGGTCACCCAGAGAAGAGCCAGACAAAATTCACTAATTAGCTTTACAGTACAAGTGAGTGACATGGACCACATAACAAAACTCCCTGAAGTTGTCCAAGCCAATTAGACTACTTAACTTGGATCCTTCACTAAGCCAATGATGGCTGGAGGGATCATTCGGGATGAGAGATGTGTGCTGAAAGGAAATAAAGGACCAAACACAATGACCTCTCAGCATCTATATTGCAAACCATAATGCCCCAAAGTAGAGAGAGAGTATGGGGGAAATTATCTGCCATAGAGGCAGGGGAAGGATTGGAGTGTGGTGGTGGGGGGAATACTGGGGACATTGGTGGTGGAAAATGTGCACTGGTGGAGGGATGGTGTTTAATCATTGTATGACTGAAACTCAAATATGAAAGCTTTGTAACTGTATCTCACAGTGATTCAATTAAAAAAAGTTGGGTCCTCATAAACTTTGGCTTCTACTTATATTTTTTTAAATTAGAAATTTTAATATCACTTTATTCTTAGTTCAATCAGCTAATGCAAGATTTTTCTGACATTTTGTAAGTGTAAACATTTTTGGCAAAACAGATTTAAATGAACACGTTAAGAGTAAAAAGTTTTTATTTTATCAAACCAGTGTACCCTAAATTCCAATTTTTTGTTAGTAGTGTGTTTGGGGGCAATTCCTTCACCACAGCAGTTTCCTCGCAGTTTATATGATCTTATTGAACTTTTGTTTCCCCACAAAATAGAGAAAATCTGAAAATCCTAGCATGTATCTCTTTGGTTTTGGTGGGAGGTGGCGGAGAAAATTAAATGAGGAATGTGGTAATTAACACAGTGCCTAATTGTTGCTCAAATTTCCCCTCCCCCATCTCAAATTGTCCTTTGATATCAATTGATTTAGTGCCCTGTTGAGGAAGATATTAAGATGAAGACATAAAAAATCTAGCAGGGACAAGCTTCTTCTCTCCTCCGCCACCCAGATCCTTCCCCCAGAGCTGCTCACCATTCTGCTCCCAGGGACTGGTTCTAAATCTCAGACAAAAGGAGTTCTTAGAATTAGGAGGCTTGAAGAGCCCGTAGCTCCTATAGCCAAAAATGGTTAAAATGAAGAAATCTAATAGCTGACAGATTTTCCTCGCTATTACTTTAACTTTTTCCTTATCATGCATTTACTTTCCAACTCCCTGGTGTCCGATAATGTACTTACCATTTTGGGTCTTTGAGTTCACGTCTGGGTTGCAACAGTTTTCTACATCAGTCATTCTCACTTAAAAGCAAAATGGAAAAAAATAAGATTTTTTTTCATATAACAGAACGACATTATACACAGTGACTCAAGTTTAAATTCCAGGTTTCAGTTCATTCTCCACCCTGGAGACTGGCCCATATCTCACCCTCATAGGGCTTTTCCTCCCCTGGAGATAGATGCCTGTTCTTTTCTCTCTCTCTCTCTCTCTCTCTCTCTCTCTCTCTCTCTCTTTCTCTATCTTTCTCTCCTTTCACTATCTTTTCTCTCTAAGTAAATTTCTCTAAATAAAACTAATTTACTACACTTAAAACAACTCAAGTTTTTCAGGAGCTGGAGAGATAGCACAGTGTGTAGGGCGTTTGACTTGCATGCGGCCAACCCGGGCACGATTCCCAGCATCCCATATGGTCTCCTGAGAACTCCCAGGAGTAATTCCGAGTGCATGAGCCAGGAGTAACCCCTGTGCATTGCTAGGTGTGACCCCAAAACCAAAAAAAACACCAAAAAAAACCTTAAGTTTTTTGATCTCTTGTTAAGTCCAGTAGACTTCCAGTAGACAGTTTATTTCAACAGTTTAAAATACAGACTTATTATTATTTATTATTATCATTATTATTATTATTAAAGATTTGTGATTTATAAAGTTATTGACAGTTGAGTTTTAGGCATATAATATTTCAACCAGTCCCACCACCAGTGTCACCGTCCCTCTACCAGTGTTTCCATATTCCCTTACCACCCCAATTCTCATCCCATCCCCACCTGTCAATTTGACAGGTACATTTTAAAGTTTCAGTGGCTCTATTAGAGCTCATGTTTTCAGTTCTGTTTAGCCTATAAAATACAGGTTTTTGTTCTAGATTATCTCTAGGAATATATACTTTTATTTTACATCATCCCCTCAGTAATGGGCTACTTCTATATTTGTGATACATTATTAGACATTGTTTTCTAGCCATTCCTATTAACAATGAATTATTTTTTGCAGTGAAAGATCCAACTTGCAAGTTGCAATAGTCACCTCCTTGGACAAATGAACACACATCTTACCATTCTTACTGAAACTTGATTTTTATTTTCTGGCTAACTCCCTTGGTTTTCGTAATTTATTTAGTTCTTAGAAACAGCTGACCTCTAACCCCTCAGTTTTACCACTTTCCTACCCTCTTAAGGGACTGTAAGGGAACTTCTCAACAACAGATAAATACCCTTCTACTTCTACTTCTACTTGTCATCAGATAATCCTACATACATATCATCAAGAATCCACTGGTATATTTTGCATAATATTGAAGAAATGGTCATTCTGAATCAGAAAATGGGAGGAAATTATTTGAATAGATTCATTTCCTGAATTTTAACTGTTACCAGGGAAAATAGATTAACAACATGAAAATATTTATAAGATTATATGAGTCAGAAATTTTGCAAAATAATCTATGGCAAATATCAGAGTTTCTCCAGTGGAAACTGTTTTTTTTATCATTTATGGCACCTAGACACCACTTTAAATAGTATTAATAGGGGCCAGAGAGATAGCATAGGAGGTAATTGCATGCAGCTGACCTTCAGTTCCATCCCTGATACCACATATGGTCCTCTGGTTACTGCTAGTAGTGGTCCCTGAGAGAGAACAGAGCCAGGAGAAATCCCTGAGCACCATTGGAGATAGTCCCCAAACTAATAAGTAAATAAATTAGTACAACTAATGCAAGAATTAACTTCAATATAAGTCATTTTAAGCTTTTCTCTCCTGTAAATCTGTATTTACTTGTATTATTGAGAAAAAGTATGATACTGATCTTCAACTTCCATACACATCCATTCTCCTATCATACACACCGTATGCTAGATTTTCACCCAGAAAACCCACCCAGCTTCACTATAATTGCTGTTGAACCACAAAATGTCTTTGCGCCACCTTACAAAGACAAATCAGGGTTCCTTGAAGTCACTCACAATCTAACTCTGAGTCCCTAGGAAATGCTGCACGTGCACTATTGGTGGTACTGCAAAACAGCAACACCAACCACACTACAGCAAGAGGAGCAACACAGACACAGCTCCATGTAGATACAGCTGCAGAGCAAAACTTACTTTTCATAACTGAAAGTTGACCCCAAAAGCAGCTAACGGGAAAGCTGCATTTTATAAATCAGTGTGTTTGCATTGCTAGCTGGCATTCTGACTGGGCAACTTCTTTCCTTTACTGTGGGTCTGTCTTGCATGTTACATGAGATTCAACATCCCTGGCTCTGCCCATTACCTGCCATTGTGACACTTGCATACTTTGCCCCCATCCCCAACGGAGACCACTGCATGAAAGAAAATACCATTTGTCTTTAGACAGATGATTGCCATGGCTACAAGGAGCAACACGACAGCTCCCAGACATATCCAGCGAGCTCTCTGATGTTCTAAAATCACAAGTGGTTCTGAAAAACACAAGAAAAAAATTATACTAAGGATAAAATATTGACCGAAATGAGTCAAGAGTTTAATCTACTTTAAAATTTAACTTACAGAATTTTAAGCTAATTTTGGTCATGGGGGAATGGCATAAGGAGGGAGAATCCTCTTGATACTTGACCTGGTTATCTGGACCTGTAATTTCAATGCTTACACCTGGCTATGTGATGCTCTTCAGGTCCAGTGGTGGGCTGTGGGCTTTTGAGTTAATTTTCTTAAAAACTGTTTTGAGCAGGGGTTGGAATGTACAGCACAATGGGTTTGCATGTTGCCAACCTGGGTTCAATTCCCAATATCCTAAATGCTCCCCCAAGCACTGCAGAAGCAATTCCTGAGTGCAGAGCCAGGAGTAATCCCTGCATCACTAGGTGTGCCCCACTCAAAAAAATAGAGTTATTGAGCAGTGAGTGGCTGGAATGGAGTGATATCTCTTTTCTGGAAATGTGAGCAGCAGGATAAAGAAGTCCAGCCTTCAAAACAGATTGACTTGGATCAGAAAGAAGGGATAGATACAGAATGATCTCCCTCATATGTGGAACTTAAAAATAGACAGCAAGTAGCAACAAAGGGCCAAAGGCAATGCAACAGGGGGACTGATACACACAACTGTGTTGTAGAGGGGTGTTGGGGTCCTTGGGGCAGGGAGGTGGATATGCTGGTTAAGGTTGTAGTACTGGGATTATGTGCACAGGAAACCATCACAAACAGAACTGCAATCACAGAATCTCAATCAATAAGTTAAAAACAAACAAAAAACACCCCCAAAGCAGACTGACTTGGAGTTAGTCTGCTTCTATTCACAAGCTTAGATATTTTCAAGAAGTTCTTTAACCGACCTAAAAAATGAAAACAATGATAAACTGTGAGACTAATGTTTGTACTTAGCACAGTAGCACTCAGAGTGTTCAATGCTAAATGGCAGCTTTGATGATTTCACTTTCTTTTACATTCTTCATTACAGACACTAGTAACCTCCTAGTGTCTCCTAGCAAAGATGAAACAAGGCAAACCCACACTGCCCCTGAACTTTCTTTACCTCTCTATATCTGTAATCATGATTAGAAACTAGTGTTTGCTCTTTTTTTCTTCCTTTGCAGTTGAGCAAATACTCTTGTCATGGTCACTGTCACTGTCACTGTCGTCCTGTTGTTCATCGATTTGCTCAAGCGGGCACCAGTAATGTCTCACAACAAATTGTTAGACTTGCTGTTACTGTTTTTGGCACATTGAATACGTCATAGGTAGCTTGCCAGGCTTTCCCATGCGGGCAAGATACTCCAGCCCTTGTCATGGTACTTCTAGTAAATCTATGATCCCTTTCAAAAAGAAGAGGAAATTGCTCAGTGATGGCTAACTCCCACCACTAGTCACTAATCTCCAACTACCTAGTTTAAGTTTTTAAAGACTCATAAGCAGTGTGCCTTTATCCAGTAACTTACAGAGCCTGTTCATAACCATTTTCTTTGAAACTCAAACAATTTTGATCAGTTAGACATGTTAGGTGTTTTAAAAGCATCTCTAGGTCACAGATGATAAAATAGACTGAGAAGCTGGGTGAATTATCCTAGGTCTTCCCATAAGTAAAGGTAAAGGTAAAGGTAAAGGCCCTCCCGTTGATCGTCGATTTGCTCGAGCGGGCCCAGTAACGGTCTCCATTGGAGACTTTGTTGTTACTGTGTCTGGCATATCGAATACTCTCGGTAGCTTGCCGGGCTCTCCGAGAGGGGCGTATGACTAAAACCCAATCATGAAAAACTCTGTACTTGTGTATCTCACTGTGATTCAATTAAAAAAGAAAAAAAAATTTTCAATGGCAGAAATCCTCTAAAGTGCCTCTTACAGAAGTAACTGAGGTACCAATAAGGGCTTCTTATTATGTTTCTAAACTTTTGGGGCTTGCTTTGTTAACAGAATAATTCTAGATTTTCTTTTTCTATTCTTTGACTTATCTCACTTTCTCTAAATGTTTCTAAGGCTCTCATCAGACTCCATATGTCACTAGTCAATTCTGTGAGGAAGTGAGACAAAGGAGAAATAGCTGAATCTGTGTAAGTGAGAGTGTCAGATCATTTCACGCACAACATAAGACATGGCTGAATGGGCATGAGGAAACAGGATGCATTCTCTAAAAATACTTCATCATTCATTTTGTTTATTTTTATTTTTTTTTATTTTTGGGTCACACCTGGCAATGCACGGGGGTTACTCCTGGCTCTGCACTCAGGAATCACTCCTGGCAGTGCTCAGGGGACCATATGGGATGCTGGGAATCGAATCTGGGTCAGCCGTGTGCAAAGCAAATGCCCTACCCACTGTGCTATTGCTCCAGCCCCGTTTATTTTATTTTTAAATACACACAGCTTGTGGTGGTCAAGGTCAAGTGCACGTGCAGCAGCAGGAGAGACTGGTATATGATGCTGGAGATTGAATTTAGGGTCTTGCAATTACTTGGCATTGTTTTACCACTGAGCCATCTCCTTAGCCCCAGGGACATTTTGAGACATTAAGAATATTACCTGGGATGACCAATTCAGCTGTTCTGTTTTCCTCATCTGGTGAACTCCGAAAAGTGCAGTAGAAAATGTCATTGGCTGTTGCATTGATTCTCAGAATGCTGGTCACATTGAGAAGCTTCTCTTCCCTTTTAGAACTGGTGATGGTTGTTTCGCCACTCAAGACCCTGTGGTCACTGCTTGTCCAGAAAACTTCAGCTTCAGGATAACCCTCAGCCTGACACATTAGCTCATATTCAGAGGTAACCGGATCCCTCGAAATTTGTTGGTTGATTTCACGGTATGGAGCTAGGTCATGAGCAAAAACAAATCAAGAATTTTCTTCATTTAACATAAAACTAGACACATGGCTCGGTGTTGCATACATCAGAAAGATTATCAATCCAGGCTGATTCTCAGAAAATCAGTTTAATGTTCAATGATTCAATGATGAGAACCTGTGCTAGTTCCAGTTCAATAATTCTATTTATACTTGCACCGAATTTGGCTCAAAGGAAATCTAACTATAAAATCACACTGCTACTTTTAGTTGTATGAAAGTAAATTTATAGATTAATTTCAAGAGAATTGCTATCTTCAAACCAGTCTTTCTAGCAAAATATAAAATAGATATGCTCCCTACTCACATCTTTGTATGTTTCTCAGTAAAATTATACAGGTTTTACATAAGGTTAACCCATTACATACAAAATTTATTCTTAAATATTTTTGATACTGTAAATGATCTACAAAAATATTCCAGTTAGCTACTATTACTGGCTTTACATTATTTAATAGATAGAAAAACAGATTTTTATGTACTATCCACATTTTCAACTCTAAGTCGATTATGAGAAACTTAGAATGAATATAGTGCAATGTCATTGTACAAATAAATACATGTGCCCAGAGCAATAGTACAAGTTGGTAGTTTGCTTTGCACAGGGCCCACCTGGGTTAGATACCTGGCATCCTATAATGTCCCCTGAGCACCATCAGGAGTAATTACTGAGTGCAAAGCCAGGAGTAAGTCATGAGCACAGCTGAATGTGGCCCCAAACAAAAACAAAACAAAACCCCAAATAAATACATGTTCCTGGATAATAACTTTTAAAAAATTAAATACATTTTTCTTTTGGAAGTTTAGTTTTTTTTAAAGTTAGAAGGAATATATAGAATTTCAGTTAGCTGTTGTCCAATTCCCCCTTGTTGACATCTTATATTGTTACTATGGTATAGCTATCAAAACTAAGGAGACAATATTAGTACAATTACATTAACTAAATTTTATACCTGGCTAAATTTCAATTCTAACTAGTTTTACCCTGATGTCCTTTTTACCCTATCCCAGGATCTTCCTTGTTCCAGAACACCACATTCTGATACTTATTTATGATGCTGGGAGGGTAGGAGTGTGGTGCTGAAAACTGAGCAGGGTCTAGCACATTCAAGACAGAAGCATCAGCCCTTTGGAGCTATCTCAAATGGCTTATACTTTTAATACTTATTTTCTAAACTTCTAAAATACTAGCTATTTTAATAAATAATTTAAATATTATACTCAAGGTAGAAAATTAATTAAATTTAAATCAATACTGTTGGCTTAAGATCAAAAGTACTCAGTATTCCAGTAGATAATTCAGTGCATTTTATGGCTTAAGACCATGACACCTATTTATCCACTACAAGATTGTTGACAGGTTATTATTTGGTATAAGTTTTTATCCACTAGTGATCCCCTTAGAGTCAATTTTCTAATACTTTACCAAGACATAACAATGGCTTTATTATACGCTGCACTCAGATATTTAATACAAAATATCTAGGTTCAAACAAAACAAATAATACTATGATGTTTTTGTGTCCTAAATCTGGGGAAAGTGTAGAACTGCACATAATTAAAATTAAAAAATCATGAATAATGGTTTTTGTAAGACTTCAATCTTTTATCTGTTGTGCTTTAAAAATTTGGGAAAGAAATCCACTGGTGGCTCAGTGGACAAGGTGCTGCCTTGCCTCACTGTCTTGGGTACCTGACACTACTTCACGTCACTCATTGCACTGCAACACTGCGACAACAACAAAGGTAAGGCAGGGTAGAGGAAAATAATCTGCCGATTCTATTTCATGAAATAACATGAACATGGGCTGGAGCGATAGCACAGCGGGTAGGGCGTTTTCCTTGCAAGAGGCCAACATGACCGACCCGAATTCAATTCCCCTGCCCCTCTCGGAGAGCCCGGCAAGCTACCGAGAGTATCTTGCCCACAAGGCAGAGCCTGGAAAGCTATCTGTGACGTATTCAATATGTCAAACACAGTAACAACAAGTCTCACGATGGAGATATTACTGGGCCCGCTCGAGAAAATCGATGAACAACGGGAGGACAATGACGTGACAGTGACAGTGAACAGGACCATAACAGAATCTAGTTCATATAACACACAGTTGAATTTAAAATATGAGACCTAAAATCACAATTAACAATAAAGTATTAAAGAAAAATGATTAGCTTTTCTTTAGCCTTCAATGATCATTTTTAATAAAACAGAACAAAGGAGAATGTTTTTTCATGTCTATAATATGTATAAATGTGGTATAATGATAATTGTTTATACTGGTAGAATTAAAAATGTATTAAGTTAAAGGTTCTAAATTGGCGATGTTCCACTTTTCATCTTTTAAAAATATAAATTTCTTATAACAGTAAAGAATCTTAAATTAATATGTGTGCATATATATATGTTAGCTATAGGGAATATACTTATAGTCATACTGTTATAAGGAATTTACTTTTTTAATTCAAGGCAATATGTCAACCCTAGTCATTCAAGAAGAAGAAGAAATACTGTATTTTTTTCTTCTTTTTTGTTTTTGGGCCTCACCTGGCTATGCTCAGGCCTTACTCCTACTCTGTGTTTTGGGTCTCTTGGCAGTGCCCAGGAGCCAATATACAGTGCCAGGGAGCAAACCAGGGGTCAACCTGAGTACAAGGCAAGCACCTTATCCCTATACTATCTCTCTGCCCTCTACAGCAGTTTTGAAACCAATGCATAACCCTATATACTGCAGAGAAACGAAAGACTCGCAGAAAAACATCATTGTCTTCAAAGCACCGACTTCAGAACTAGGCTGCTTGAGTTTAGAACCTGATTTCACTGCTTAATAAGTGAGTGAACTTGGGCAAATACTTTATTTCTTTGAACTCAATTTTCCTATTCATAAAATGATATATAACTACTCTACGTATCATTGAACCTAAGATGTCATCTATTAAAAACACAGTTGGCATTCAGTGACAGTAAAATGAGAAAAAGATATATCTTAGATATAATAAAGTCATTACTCAATATTGTCATTTGAAGATTAAGTGAGCAAGTATAGGCTAAGAATTCTAGATAGTACCTGGTATAGAAGTATAACATAAGTAATAGTTATTACTATATTACTCCTAGAGCTCCTCCTCCATCTCCTCTTGTTACCATGGTATTCTTTAGGAAGTATTGACAGTTCCTATAAATACTCTTTGAAACAGATTTTCACACACCAAAGCTATTCATATTTTAAAATTTCAGGCTTAAGGAACTATTTCATTCATTTATTCAAGTGCTTTCTTTGTGATCTTGTTTTACAACTACTTTACAATTTGCTATGCCCTAAGGCTAAGGACATAGCAATGAATAAACTGACCAAACCCTTGCCTTTGAAAAACATATATTCTAGAAAGAGGATAGAGACAATAAACAAAGTAGGTAAATTTATATGTTGCATTACATGATAAATTTGGTAGGGATAAATGTTACTGAGAAAAACAGAGCTGGTTGGTGTATTTGAAGAAAAGATGGGTTTGGTGGGGGAAATGAAAGCAATTAATCCTTGTTCCATATAAACAAATTAGCTTAATCAGGATAGATATGCAATATTTTATGGCATTTTTTTTTCCAGTTGCCTAATACAAATTAAAATCTTAAAAGTATATAGGGGTATATACTTTTCCTGATATTAGATATGACTGCCTTCCCGTTGTTCATCAATTTGCTCGAGCGGGCCCAGTAACGTCTCCATTGTGAGACTTCTTGTTACTGTGTTTGGCATATTGAATACTCTTGGTAGCTTGCCAGGCTCTCCAAGAGGGGCGGAGGAATCGAACCCGGCTTGGCCGGGCTGGCTGCGCGCAAGGCAAATGTCCTACCACTGTGCTATCACTCCAGCCCCTAAGGTAAAGGTAAAGGCCCTCCCGTTCTTCATCGATTTGCTCGAGCGGGCCCAGTAATGTCTCCATTGGAGATTTTGTTGTTACTGTGTTTGGCATATCGAATACATCACAGGTGGCTTGCCAGGCTCTGCTGTGTGGGCGAGATACTCTCGGCAGCTTGCCGGGCTCTCCGAGAGGGGCGGAGGAAAAAATATTTTCAACTGAAATTTGGGTACCTGAGAATCTTGTATTAAATTAAATGCAAAAGATAAAATAAAACCCTAAGTGATGTTATTGAGTTAAATCCAAAACTAAACTCTTTCAAATTTCAGTTTTGAAATGCTTCATCTTTAAAATCCCATGGTGAGTAAAACCCCTAGGGGAGTTGTGTTACCATATGTCTGCAGTGATGGGAAGAGAAGACTAGAGGGAAATCATTTGCATATGGTGACTCAGGGGTTCTACTTCCTCCTGCATTCCTCTGTAAAGTGCAGGGTAGTGGTGGAGGGAAATTGGGGGTGGATATAATTCTACTCAACACCCAAAATCTTTTCATGCAAATGACAGCAAGCTAAATTGAGACTAGGCCACCAATGTAGTCATTTATAGTACAAAATGAAATGGCAAAACAAAGCCAACCCACACATCTAAGTGGACATTGTCTTGTTAGAGCTGCCTGCTTGAAAACACATTAGTGCTCTAGATTTTTGTTTCTTCAAAGGAACTTGCATAGGCTCAAGGCACATTACAGATCCCAGATGACCTGGAAAAACATCCCTTTTCACAACTCATGGATAGCGTGCTTCCTGTCTTCTAGAAGAGAACTTTCTGGAAACAGAAATTTATCATCTATATTCCCTTCTGACTGCCAGGCATACGCTCTTCTTCCTAATCCCAGATCCCAGATCCAACAACACTTGCCATTCATAGGGTTAAGGCTTCATAATTTCTTAGTGTTTGAAACATATTAGGTGTCTAGTATTGATAAATTCGGTAGGGATAAATGAAGAAAAGTTGAAAATCCCAACTTGAAATCCCATCACATCTCATAAACCTTTCATGACTATCAATCCTCTAGAGAAGCTTAAATGGTAAAATGTAATTAAAATTAAATTTATTTCACTAGTGTCATTTTCTTCACAACAGTTGCATTATTTGAATTAGAAGCACATTAATGAGCCATAAAATGTTGTATTTCTCATTTCTATATGATTTGAAATTTATAATGATCTGTTACCCCCTTATGATAAATGTGAACTTTTCTACTTATTGACTTTCAGTCTGATGGTGGTAGGCAATGATAAGGCCAAGGGGTAACAATTTAATTTAATCTCAGTTATTTATTTGAAAATAATCATTAAATAAAGAGGCAGGCATATATTCTGAAAATTATGATTAGAGACAGCAAACTCACCTCAAGGTCAAAAAGTAACTCAACAGACTATGGAAGGGGGTCTTAATAATAGGAGTGCCATTGTGGGAAATATATGTACAGATGATTCTTTTGGGAGGGATTTGGAAGTTTGAATTAGCTAGACTTCCCTGGAATCCTTTTAACTTTCAGTCCTATGAAACTTAACAGTGAAAGTAGAGGTGGTTAGCTAAGGTGTTTTCCTTTATTTAGCTAGTTATCATCCAAAAACTTTGACTCCAGATGACCTGATGACATATTTGTGGGTCAGAACCCAGAAATTGTAATTCACAGTTCCTCTTCTATACTTCAAGTAAACAATGGTATAGATTTTCAAGATGAATACATACACAGTAACATAACTGTACCAGTGTTTCTCAACTGAACATATGGCCTTCTGTCAGTGTCAGTCCCAGGATATTCCAAGGAAACCACAAGTGAAAGTTGCATAAGTGGGGTGGGGGTGGGGGTGAACACACTAGACTCGGGGGTGGACACAGTAGACTAGGGCCAACTGGTAGGACAGATGTATAAGAGGAAAGAAACAAGGTTGGAAATGGTTGAGAAAAACTGGTCTATACCAACTCTGAGAATTGTTTCCTATATGCTTGATATGATTAAGTTTGCCTTTATAGGTTGACTTTAAGTCTTTTAAGGTATAAAACTGATAATGGGTTTGTTTTAAGTATTTGTTTGGGTTTGACACAGAGACATTCAAAGGAAGAAAAATGCTAGCAGATCTAACAAAAATTTTTAAAAAATTGAATTTGAATAAAAATAATTCCTGAAGAATGGTTATTATCTTTGCATTCCATTTCATGAAAGATGGTGGTTAAGTGGGGGAGGCAAAAATTAATTTTATGCCTCCCATAGTATATGAATTATTTGCAACATTATGTATTTTTTGAAAAACAATAAGAAAGTAAAGACTAGGTATTTATTATTAGGAAAAATGAACATACTATGGAATACTTTTATCATTTGTTGCTTTGGATCTCCAAGCATGGTCAAACACGAGGTACTCAATAAATATATGCTTAGGATGAGTATGTGAATGACTGAAGAAACAGTCCTTCCACAGTTCTTTTGGAAAATAAGGTGAGACTGCCAAGAATAAAAATTTCTCAACACTGGAATATGGATCGTACCAGAGTACAGGTGGAACTTTTCCTTTATAATAATTCTTACCGTAGACTTTCAAAGTAATCCGCTTGTAGTCAGCACCGCCATAACTGATCAAGCAGCAATAAACCCCTGCATCCTGCATTTTCACCTCTGTGATCTGAAGTGCAGCCTTTCCCAGAAAGAGCTGGTCTTTTAACAGATGGGCCCTCTGTCTGTAGTTACTATGTTGTACAGTCATGTCTTCCTTCCCATTCATAAACTGAGTAATTTTCTTGCCATCCATTTCCCAGTAGACAATTAATGAAAGCATGTTTAAACGTTCTTTTATAGGGAATTTGCATTCAATTGTCACATTGCTGCCATATTCGACTATATACAGGTCCTTGGTAACTGTAACAGTAAATGCTGAAAAAAGAAAGATGATCAATCATCTTCAGAAGATAGAAAATACCTAAAAAAAAATGCAGAATTAGTGCAGAGTTTAAATACCTTTTATTTGGTTATATATGTGATAAGTATTTTTTCTTTTTCTTTTTTAGGAATGTTTATTGAGACACTGTGATTTATAAATTTGTTCATAATAGAGTTGCTTCAGGTATACAACATTCCAACACCAAACCCACCACCAATGTACCCTTCTCTCCACCTATATCCCCAGGTTCTCTCCTCCCACCACTTTCCCCCCAGGTTACTCCCTTGACAGGCATATAACAAATTTATTTTATATTACTTGGTCCAATAAAACCTAATGGAATGGTGTAGAGAATTATTAGAAATAATTAAGTGATAAGTACGTTTAAGGATTCCCTAAAACTGTATACTTTGTCCAATGGGCTTGAAACATGTTTAGCAATATTCTATATGAGCCTGAAGAATAACAAAATTAGCTAAAAATCTTAATATTCCAAGATAAAAACATACATCGCTTTAAAAATATTATATCATGACGGGCTACTTATAATCAGGGAGACTGTTTCATGTGGATATTCCGAACATGTCCACACTTTGATTGAACACCTGTTTGCCATCTATGTAGCATCAATGGTAGATTCTTGGAGTGCTCTCTTTGTAGCGCTCTATACACTTGGGCAGCTGTCTGGTCAAATGTACAGGGCAAGGGGATTTAAGGAGGGTCTCGGGATAATACTATGAGTGCATTTCCCTGACATTTTCATTGATACTATAATTCTTTGACACCATAATTTCATTGATATTATGTTAATATATGTATATATGTGAAAGAAAGAATCATGGGGCTTTGGCCTGGCCCATTTCGATGCCAGGGTAGCTCACAGTTTGCCCTGGGTCCATTCAGGCCCTCGTCAGGACCCTGCTTTGGGGGTGCTAGGAACTAAGAGCAACTGAGGCTTAAGTTGAGAAAGCAGTTTCCCGGGAGTGAATAATATTCGAAGCCAATTAAATCTCAAGTTACAAAAGCATAATATTAACTGTTTTCCTGTATCTATACAAAAAGGACATTGTTTTAAAGTAAACTATTCAAAAGACATAAGGAGAGGAGAAAGGCAATATTAACTTACAATATAAGTTCAATGTCCTAGAAGGATCTGACCTTACAAGTTAACAGAGTCTGATTAGGGGGAAAAGCTGATTAACTGATTGGGGAAGAGAGCATACAGAAGTGGTTAAAGATAAACAAAGGAATGGGAGTGACCCGAGAGCACTGTGATGGGTGTAACCTAATAAACCTAAGTTTCTTGACGCAAGGGAGAAAGGACAAATCAATTGTTATCCTACACTCAGGCAACCATAAGGGGGTGCCAGGGATTGAAAAAAGTTTTGCTAAAGTTTACCAATTATATTTATCTTCCTTTTTTATTCTCTTAGATTCATTGATGTTTCGTTTTTTTTAATTTTCACTTTTCTGATGTTTTTATTATTTACTTCTTTTTACTAACTTTTGCTTTAATTTCTTCTTTTGGTGGGGAGCACACCTCACAGTGCTCAGGGCTTACTTCCAGCTGTGCTCAGGGACTCTTGTTTCTTTATGAAGGCATATACTGCTTTTAACATATAATGTTATTTCTTTATTTGGTTTAAGTTGATAGTCCATAGTTTTAAGAGGGATGTTTAAATCCCTCATTATTATATTATAGGAACTCTTAATTATACCTTAACATATTTGAATGCTCTTTTATTTGACATGTGCATAATTAAAGTGTAAAATCTGACTGTATTAAGCCCTCGCCACCACCACCAGCAGAGGAACCCAGGTATGTGGGACCTGGGGCTGAGATCTCTAAGCCTGCTCAGATCAGAACTGGACCTCCTCTACCCAGATCCCCCATTTTCCAGTAGCTTGGCATTCACACCCACAAACTGCTCCTGGCGTCATGTAACCCCACCAACGGCCAAGATCCAGAGACTAAAACAAAGCTCCCAGAAGCACGTGGCCGCATTTGTGGCTGTGCGACCTCTTATAGTCTAATCACTGGTGTACCTAAAGCAGCAAGCACACATGTTTGGTTTTAACATGCTTGCTCATATTCTCTTATATACATTCTCTGTCCCTCTCAGAGAGCCCGGCAAGCTACCAAGAGTATCCTGCCTGCATGGCAGAGCCTGGCAAGCTCCCCATGGCATATTTGATATGCCCAAAATGGTAACAATAATGGGTCTCAATCTCCTGACCCTGAAAGAGCCTCCAATATGGAACCGTTGGGAAAGATGAGTAAGGAGAGGCTGCTAAAATCTCAGGGCTGGGATGAATGGAGCGGGCGCCCGCTCGAGCAAATTGATGAACAACGGGGTGACAGTGATACAGTGATATAGTAAATCAAGAAAAATCAGGTAACAGAGTAATGGAGAAGAAGCTTACCTTATTTAAAACAAAAAAGGGCCTGGAGATAGTGCAATGGTTAGGCTGCGGTCAGCAAGCAACTGACCTGGGTTTGTTTCCTAGTACCACATGGTATACTTCAAAGTACTGTCAGGCACAGTCCTGTAGGTCTCCAGCATCACCAGGTGTAGCCTCAGAGGCCCTCAGCACTGCTGGGCTGACTTAGGCACTGCTGATGACCAGCAGCACCCCATTCTGGTATCATCCAAAAACTTTCCTTAAATCCCCATATCTTGTACATTTGACTAGACAACTGCTCTTACCTTGACCACCAGCCTAGTTGACAGAGAATCACCAGTGTGATAATGCTTAAGCCCTCCTAATAATGTTTACCCCTCACCAAACAAACAAAATAATCGAAAGAGGCCAGGTTACTCCTACAGATATTTTCAGTAATTATCCCTGGGAAAGACAGCAAATAAATACAGGGTTGATTTGTTTCTTTAAGTTTATTCATTTCCCCTTTTTCTTTGTTTAAAGATCAGGTTTTCTGGATTATGCTTTTAAAATAAAGAAGGAAAGACTGAATGTCTTTTCTCCAAAATGTACATCAATTTAAAATTGCTGTTTTAGTTTAATTTATGGTTAAATATTAAGATATAGAATTAAATGAAAGGTTTAAATGAAAAACCTTACCTTTCAGTGTATGACAGTAGGCCACTAGTATAAAGATGCTAAATGTTATCATTTCTCTGGAATGACCTAATTATGAAAACACAAAAAGGAAAATGCTTTATTCAATAATTGACTACCTAGCACATGGTAGTTATAATTGAAAGAGCTTCTAATAACCAAGCAATGAATTATTCCCCTGCATGGAATTTAATATCTCAGGACCACATAAAGCCAAATAAAAAAATCGCTATGATAAAAATTTTTTGCAACTAATGACAAGCCCTGAAAAGAAAGCTGCAATACATTTGTAAAGAAGTCAAAAAGGAAATAGTGCACCCAAAATTCTTTTTTTATGGTCACTGTGGTGTTACATATTTGGAAATTCCTAACTGCATTTGGCAAAATTTCAAAGCAAGTACTATCTGACTTTCATATCTCTCACCTTTCTCACCCACATCACCTGAATCTATTGATTCCAACCTTAATTATTCGATTATTCAATAATTATCCAATTATTCAAATATTTCCACATCACTAGATCAGCCATGCCGGTTCTCCCCGGGTGCCATCTATCAAGTCTCCTCTTGGACCAGAGAGGCAGGTAAGGAGCTTGCCTTGTGCAAGTCTCCCTCTACTGGGATTCTGGTTGCAATCCCCACACAACACACTGTTCCTTGAGCACTACCAGGAGGTGATTCCTTGGACCAAGGAAGGAATCACCCCTGAGCACTGGCAGGCGTGCCCCCGAACAGTCTCTTCTGTTCCTCCCTTGATCTTGACCCCAATGCTGAATCCCAGTCCCTCAATAAACCAGTTCGACCGATAGCAGAGGGAGTGAGAAGGAGAAACAAGGGGAGTCAATCAATGTTCGTAAAATGTGAACGACCTGTATTCATTCTTTGGGGGCACAAGATCCTGCTTTCACTTTGTCATTCTGCTTAGGATTCTCCCGAACTGGAGCAACAGTATTCGAGCCACCAGCTGCGTTCTAAGACAAGTCCTGCTCGAGCTCTGGCAGCGGTCCGACCCAGGGCGTGGACGACGGCTACCTAAGCGGGCACGTTTCCCACTCCGCCGCCGCTCCCCCTCCAGCCGCCTCTCTTCCTCCTCCCTGCTGGAATCCGGAGCAAAGATCCGAAATCTGGTAACTGGCGGCGACCGCAGGAAGTCAGTTTAGAATAGGCTGCAGGTCCCTGGTGGCTCGGTGCTCGCGGACGGTGCTTCTGGGACCGTCGGGGCCAGAACGCGCAGAGGCTTTGCAGTGACTGCGGGATACGACAAAAGACCGCGTCGGTTACCTGTGCTGCTGACAGTGACAGGCGAGTGTCTCTTGCGCCCCTTGCCCACCCCTCGATTATCACACCTACTCCCCCTTCTCCTTCCTCCTTCCAAGCACAGGTCTAGAGCCCACCACTCTTAACGTGCCCCGGGAGCCGGCAGAACGGCGGGGAGTCCGGGCAGGACCTTCCTTACCTGCGGGCGGCGCGGACTCCCGGGGCGCAGTGCCCATCGCGGCCACACGTCGGGCAGCCCAGCTAGTGCCCCGCCTACAGCCCCCGCCCCCAGGCCTCTGTGCGTGTGCGAAGTGGCTTTTCCGAAAGTAAAAGTAGGGAAACCAGCAGACCCTGCACGGAAGGAATGAACAGCCGAGATAAATGAAACCAAGGTGAAGCCTAGCTAATAGTTCTAGCTCTTGAGCCGGCTGTCCTGAAAGGTCGTTTCCAGGATAAGCAAACAAATCAGCGTCTTCCCTGTCTGCTGTGTCAACAAAGGCTTAAACAAATCCGAGTCAAAAAATCATCCCCACGCCCCCCCCCCCGTAAAAAAAAAAAAAAAAAGCATCCCATTTGGTTTACCTTCAGACTCCGGAGAGCGTAAATCCAGATACCTAAAATCTGGTTGTTTATGTTTCAGTCCAGAGCTTTTACAAGGTTAGGAAACATCTTGATACAGGTTAGAATTTTGAAGCTCATAGAAAGTAAAGAGACCAGCCCCCGTGGCTTTGGTTTTTATTTTAGAAAGTGGTATCTGCGCTAAAGGTGGATTTTTGTTACTTCCTTAAAGTTCCTCGACGTATGTAACCTGCGAATTCAAACCACGAGTTCAAAAAGAACTTCCCATCTGTGTGAAACCATGGGTTGGGTATCCATCAGCAAAAATCAACCATACTCGTTTTACTCAAACACCCTACCCCCCCCTTTTTTTATTGAATCCCCTTTTTTTTTTTTATTGATACAGAGTTAAAAGCTATTCTTGATTGGGTTTCACATACTTGGTTCTTAACAAAGATCAATTTGAAGTCTAAAAAGTGTTCACAACTCTTACTCTCTAAAGATCAATACATTTGTGTTTCCTGGTATGACTGGACGATTATTTAAAGGAATATTATAGTCAGATCCTGGCTGACTGGATCAGTGGTGAAACTAATATGTTATTAATGACTCATTATACAGGAAGAAGAAATGATTTCTCCCCATCCCTCCTTTTCCTAGAAAGGCCACAAATCCTTTCCAGTCCATGAGAGACTTTCAAACCTAAGCTAACAAGTTTTCAGATGCTGAAAAGTTCTATTAAAAATGAAAAGGGAGGATGGGAGAGATGATGCAGCAGAAGGTGTTTGACTGGCATGTGGCTGACCCTGTACCCTATATGGTCCCCTGAGTCCCACCAGGAGTAATCCCTGAGCACCAAATGTGTGCCCACAAACTAAAAACAAAAGAAGATGACAGCAACAACAACCACTACAAATGAATAAATGAAGAATGAGGGCCAGACAAAAGATTGCTTAAAGGACTGGAGCACATACTTCATATGTGGAAACTCTGGCATAGGTCTCAGCACTGCATGGTCTCTGGAACACTGCCAAGAGTTGACCCTCAAGCTCTGTCCTTGGGGTTACCTCTGAACTTTGCCTAGTTTCCCCCAAACAAACAAACAAACAAACAAAATCAAAGTCAAACAAAAACAAAAAGGCAAGAAAGTATGGAGCAATAGTTAGATGTGGAATTCCTTTAGTTATAGGGTCCAGAAAAGATTTCTTTGTAAGGTGGTATTTTTAAAATAAATCATGGGGGAACTATGATAAGATCATGAGAAAGAGCATTCTTGGTGGATTAATCAACAAATAAAAAGGCAATAAGGAGGGAACAAACATGGCAAATTCTAAGGATGGAAAAATAGTCCTGTGACTGGAGGGTATTGTGAGGGAGTGTGGTGAGTCAGATTCTGATCCCCCACACACCTTTTGACTTAGGAAGGGAGAATTAGATGAAAAGTCACTGGATTATTTAAAGCAAGGAGTTACTGATGGATGTTATAAAGATATCCCTAAGCTTTGGTGTGAAGAGTAGAGTGTAAAGGGGCCTAGCATGGGAATTGGAAGCCTTTCAGAATTTGTTGCTGTACAGCACATTCAAAATATTATTTGACTGATTTTTAAAGCATGTATTTTTAGAGTTAAGATTATACTTCATTATCATCCACATCTATCCTTGTTGTCATTCTTTTCCTTACCTTCTGCTCTCTTTAACTTATTCAGATATTTGCTAGATAAAGTCTTCTCTAATATAGTTGTAAGAAACTGAAGTTTCTGATTTCTCCCTATTATTTGATAAAACACTATGCAATCAAATAATTAAAACTTTTTGCGACTTTGTGCCCTTTCTCTACCCCTCCCTCCAGCCCAACCCCAACCCCATTAATTTAGGACTCTCTGGGATCAAAAAAGCTAAAACAGGTACAGGAGCAATAGTACAGTGGGCACTTGTCTTGTATGTGCCAACCTTGGTTCAATCCCCTGCATCCTATATGATCCCCTGAGCCCACCAGGAGTGATCTGTGAGCGCAAAACCTAGAGTAAGCTCTGAGGACCACTGGTGTGGCTCCCCACAAACAAAAACCAAACCCTCCTCACCTCCAGAAAATAAAAAGCTACAAAAGACTGACCTGAGGCTTGCAGTTTGGAAGTAATGACAACCTGTCTGGGAGACACTACCTTGCTACATTCTTTTGCTTTGATAGGTCCAAAGCAGAGCCTTAAAATTTAATTTTTGGTACTGATAAAGACCGCAGGCCCCTGCCTGGACAATACTGGTCAATATTCACTGTGCAGCAGAGCCCTTCTTGACCTACAGTCACCTTTCTTCTCATTACCATACTAAGAAACACACCCCAGTGATGCTCTGCCATTTTCTGCATGCATGATGGCGGTCCTTTTGTGTGTTCCTCAACTGCACATGCTCACTTTCCCCCTCATTAATATGTATGAGTTTCCTGAAAAACTGCTAAATCTGTAGAGATTGTCGTATCACTCTAACTCTATCAAGCATGAAACCAGCTACCCACTTCTTTTTGAAGCTTGCCTATCAGCCTATGCTGGTAGACTTCCTTTCCAACTAAGTTGTTTTCTTGCCAAGAAAGTTCCTGTTATGTATTCAGTTATTCCTGTGCTGTTTGGATGACAACTATGAGGGTTTTCTTTTCTTTGCTACTGCCATGTCTGTAGGAGTAGTTGGCTAGATATTGAACAGAGTTTTGTGGCTTTGGCTCCACTACCACTACCTGATTGATGCAGGAACACCTTGAGAGAGCTCTTCATGATGACCCTTCTATGGGACAGGGACAGTGACATGCTACATTTATCTTTGTCATTTCTTTGTCAAGGCCATGTCCACCATCTTTGCATACCTCCCCCAGGATGGTCCCAGGCACAGACCAACAGTGCACCAAATTTCACAAAGCAGCTGCCTGCCAGGAAGGCGGACCATGTTATATATTCATCAGAATTCAGAGACTGGTTTCAGAGGTTTTTGTTGTTATTATTGCTTTAGATATTCCAGGTAGAAGACAAGTTGAATTTCTCAGGCATAAAGGAGGCTCAGAGTCAGACTGAGAACAGTGTCACATGAGCTGCTTGGTCTGTAGCAGAAGGAAGTTTCCAAGGGTTAGTCTAGCACTGCAGAGACCTCGTGATTAAAAGAGAAACATAAGTACTTACTATTCGGGTAAATTTGGTAAGAGAAACAACAAGAGATTTTAGGAGTTTCCTGCACAGTGTGATGTACAGAGATTTTTGTAGGGACTTCATCAGAAAGATCAAGTTATTATTCTTCAGTGCTTCAGCAAACAGTTTATGCTTTCTTAGAATGATATTAAATGCTTGGGTTAAACCAGGTGAAGCCTGTTTTAGTCAGATGACAGTCAAATATAGTTACCCCTGCTTCGCAAAGCTTTTATGAGTTTGCAGGCCTCTTAAATGATAGAATTACTGATTACCTCATTTCAATAAGAAATCTCAGTAAGCAATAATATTGTTTCATAAAAACTATCAAATTAAGCAAATAAAATACAACATTTGTAATTAAGACTTTAAATAGCTGTATAGTAAAACATACATGTGGAAGTCAGAAACTATATCTTGGTCATTTAGATATATAGCAATTCTATAAGCAAGGTTCTGAGATACCCTGTTTTCATGAAGCTTAAATAACCTAAGTATGACCAGAAAGAAAGACAGCTAAAGTGCAAATACTGCTTCTAGGGCCAGAGAGATAGTACAGTGGGTAGTTGCCTTGCATATTCTATATGTTCCCTGGGCAACACTAGGTTTAATTCTTTTTTGTGTGTTTGTTGATGTTCAAACCTTTCCTTTTGTAAAAAATTTTATTTTCCCTTTACACTTTACATAAAACTGTGGTTTAAAAAGTTGTTCATGATGATTTATTGCATTTTATATACCTTCCCACTACCATTATCTCCATTTTCCCAACCACCCAAGCCTGTCCTCATAGCAAACCCTCAGTAATTTATTTTACATTTTTTGTTATAATTTGATAAAAGAATGATCAAAAAAATTTCCTCAGAAGAAAGTTAGTGAAATTGTTGTATCTCACCATGGAACGATTAAGCCCCTGTATAAGAGATTACTAAGATGTCACAGGTTAAACCTTCTGTGTTGCTGTGCTGATATTTTATTAATCGGGATTGGTTGCCTTCTACATTACATCCTGTGTAAACTCAAAAAAGGCACACAGCAGCGGCGGCTGTTCTGTCTCTCCCGCTGCCCGCGTTCGGTAGTCTCACCCTGCTTCCCCCACCCCGGGGAGGTCGATGACGATGGGCAGGCGAAGGAAGGAAACTAGGGCCAGGCTGGTTGGTCTTAGTCACAGTTTATTCCAATCCTCTCCCCATCCACTCCAGTC